TCAAAGTTGAAAGGGATCTGTCTAAATGGTTCCCTAGTAGATGTGTAGATCGTCAGTGAGAAGTCTATTCGTCTGCTATTGTTGTTCTCGACTTATAGTTGTTCTCGACTTTCTTCTTAGAAGCAGTGTCGACCCTCGCAAAGACGAAGGTCTCATTCTGAGGGGAGGAGGACAATTCAAGATATCCTGGTTACTTAGTCTATGCAAATAATTTTTTCAAGTTGATTCGTAGAGGGAACAAACTGTGTTATCTGACGGTTTCTGCGTGCAAAACAGCTATGTAAACGAACATCTTCCTTAACGGCTAAAGGCCAAAGGTTATTAAAACAAATCCTCACAAATGACCTACATATCAACAGGATGATGAAGCTCAGCAGGAGGTTGACGGGCTTAGTGTCTCGGCGTTATCATCATCAGCAGTGGCATTGTAAGCCAGCGTTAAATGGCAGGATCGCCCTGGCGTTGAGTTCATTTTGAAATCTGCTTAGCATCTGGGCGGAGAAAAGAGTTATTCTTCCCATGAAAATTGCGCCTGGACCTTACCTCTGTCAGTATTGTCAGTATTGCTGTACGTCACGGAGACAGTTGTTCTAACGAAGGAGCAAGAATAATGGCTAAACAATTTCCAGCAGCGTTGACTTCAATGCATAACGAGGATTTAATGGCTAGAGCATGCAAGGAATGGCTCCATTCGATTCCTCCATAGACGTGGAGGTTAAGAAGTGGAACTCGGTCCTTTAAAAAGAACTGATTGGACAAACACGATTTGTTCCAACCCGTGAGTTTTTAGTGTGGATGTCGAAATACGGCAGATGTCGACTAGGGAGTGAGCATGTAACATGGAATCAGACCTGCTTTCGGAGAGGAATATTTCCTTCTGCGGTACAATAACCGGTGTGCTAGGAGAAAAGTGATGATAAGCTGTTTATGTAGTGGACATCACGAACCAGAATCGTTTCGTCCATGGCAACAGTTCAAAATGCTAATCTCAGCAACACATCTCTTAACCATAAGTCTACCCAAAAGATTTTATGCATCTGCACCGTTTCCTGCAAGTGTGACGTGGTTGAGATTTCAGCTTCATAAAGGCAGATTATAAAATTGGACTGAGCAACAGATCGGGTTCAGTCGACAGCGTTATAGGTGGACTGCAGATCTGAAACGTATCATCTAAAATTCAGTACCACCATGTGGAAAAGAAAACAAAGGCGTCACGTGGTATTTGCCACTTGTACACGTTGTAAATCTTGCCTCCGAAACAAACATGCGGAAATTCCTGCCTGATGACATCATAGCCAAGATTAGCGAGCACCATAGGCTGTAGATGATGCACATTGAGGGATCAAAATATTTCCTGTTATGCAAATCATGCTGACATACCAATGACTGATATCCAAACGGTTCACAGCTTCCTATCACTCCTTATAACCGGACCAACATTCGTTAGTACAGGAAGAATGCTGGTATGGCAGCATTTTCACTACGTCCAGAAAAAGTATGGAAAACATCGACGCAACGTTGCTTTCACTTACTATAACGCCAAATGATGGAAAGAAATCTGACGTACTTCAGCCGCTTTTCATGAAATCGGTTTTTTGTTTTTTGTTCATGTTGAGATGTTGCAGCTGGAAGTGCGGAGTGAGGAAAACTCATAGTTTCGCCATTTGTTCGCTAACTTCTTAT